CCTATTCGGTCTATGGTCGGGGTCGCAAGGACTCAGTGACAGCAGAGACCATTTCTGCTGATACTGTCCGTTTTAATGCACCTCAGATGCTCTCTATGGACAAGTTGCGGCTCTTGAGCTCGTCTCGCGTTGGAGCAGTCCTTGGCGTATTTTTTACTCCCAATTCTCCTCCGGTTATTGGATTTGGCGCTAGTCCTGTTAGTACTACTTTCAATGGGCAAGATGCTGTCAATCGCGGGGCCCCCAAGTGGTCTGATTGCTTTGATCCCACTTTGATCCAGCAATACTGGCAGGGAGATATGAGTGTCCCTACTCATAGTCTGGTGGTTTCCCTCAGTGGGCGAACACGGTTGAAAATGCCAGCGTCGCAGCAGGATTTTGTTCAAGCGACAAAGCCTGCAATGCTGGTTGGGGACTTTTCCAAGGTCCTTCTGATTCCTGATGGATGTGGTGCCCCGGTGGGCCTTTATTGGCCAACTTCTATTTCTTTCGAGGACTTCAAAAATTCTTTGAGTGGACATGTATGGGAGTTTCTTGGATTTATTGCGGAGTCAGTCTTCTATTTTTGAAGAATGGTTTAGGGCATTGAATTCAAGTGCCGGGTCCTATCAATTGCAAACAACTTCTGCGATGGATCTGTGGGCGACTCTGCCTTGTCCTTCCAACCTTCGCGGGAATGGTCTATTGAACGTTGCTGCTGCCCAACCCCTACGAGAGCAATTTGCTCGCTATGTAATGGGGATGGCTCTGGATTGTGCTCTCTTTGGCCCCTGTGATGTGGACATTCGACAGGCTATCAGGCAACGCTGTCAAGTTGGTGCATGGTTGGAACGTGCTTGGCAATGCTACTCGCCAGCACTGGGGTATCATGGTCCGCCGGATCATTTTGCGTACCTATCTGTTCTTTGTCCTCCAGAGGATGGGTGGCCATGGCCGGAATTTTCTACTTGGCTTTCTGATTTGCCTTTCAACGCGCTACCTGATAGGTATCAGCGATTTGAACCGAAAGAGATCCCTGTGAAAGCTCGAGCAGTCTTTGTTCCAGCCATTCTTGTGGAAAAAGAGGACCCTGATAGCGATTTGGATGCTTACGCAAATGTGTTTGCCACGACTGCAACTACAGTTACGGCTACACCTAACATTGCTACAGTCCCGGCTCCAGCTCCGAATGTTGCTACTCCAAGTCCACAGAAAGAAGCTCCACTTCCACTGGTGCGGCAATCGGCCTCCCCACCTTCCGTTCCACAAGACGTCCTTGATGCCATGCAAAAAGTGAGGGCTTTCCAAGAACAAATTGTTCATGGTACATCTGCGGGCACACCTGCTAATCCAGTTGACTTGGTCGCTGGT